GGATAACGATTATATTAAGATAGACAAAACAAACAAGATGACTACCAAAACGGCATTACACATCATCTTCGTTATTAATGGACGTATAGTTACATACAAGATATAGGACGCTATGGATGAAAATAGATTTACTATAAGACAAATTTTGATTTATTGAATCAAGGAAGGCCTCTGGCTGAGTTGAAAATAAACAACTGATTGAATGCTAACATTCAGCATAGAAAATGAAAGGTAAGGGGATAAAGATTATATTACAATAGACAAAACAAACAAGACGACTACCAATAGGGCACTACACAGCATGTTCGTTATTAATGAACGTATAGTTACATACGAGATATCATAGGGCACTATGGATGAAAATAAATTTACTATAAGACAAATTTTGATTTATTGACTTCAAGAAGGCCTCTGGTTGACTACAAAATAATCAACTGATCGAATTCTAACATGCGACATAGCAAATGAAAAGGGACGATATAACGAATCTATTACGATATGTAATTGATTTTCTATCTTAATATATTCGTTATATCCTTCCCTTTCATTTACTATGTCGCATGTGAGGATTCGATCAGTTGTTTATCTTGTACTCAGTCAGACGCCTTTTCATCTATAGTGCACTATGATATCTCGTATGAAACTATACATCCATTAATAACGAAGATGCTTCGTAGTGCCCTTTTGGGCCGCCCTGTTTGTTTTTTCTATCCTTAAGTAATCGTTATCGCTCCCCTTTCATTTTCTATATCGCGTGATAGGATTTGATCAGCTGTTTATTTTGTACTCAGCCAGAAGCCTTCTTAGTCAATCAATCAAAATTTGGCATACGGTTTTGCTTTCGTATTAAATTATTAAAACAATATGTACAATTAAAGTTTTGTTTACTATGAATAACAAATATAAAATATGCAATGTTAGTATGGTTTTCAAGGAAATTCAATGCAGCAACTTAAAATATTTGTTATAAACGAAAATTTTATGATAAAAAAATTATACTAAAAAAACAAAAGTTAACGCTCGTTTAAATTTTATATCTGTATTCAAATTTACGAAATTTATGTAAAATGGGATTTCAATTTCTGGTTTCGATTTCCATCATTTAAGTGTCAAAACAACGTTGCAATTACGGCTTTATTATTTTTGTCAAACCATAAAATTCTTTTTATTTTACAGTAGGGAAGCTAATTTTGAATTTCATTGAAAATAATACTAAAATTCTATATTTTATCTTCGTTGTTCATAGTAAACAAATCTTTAATTGTACATACTATTTTATTAACCCAGATATGCCTGACATACAATAAATTGTACATTACAAATATCTTTAAACTTGATTATCTAAAAGTATCATATTTCTTGATAACCACCTAAATACTTTCAGTATGTAGTAATTAACCATAGAGTGTAGTTTTGAATTACTGTCTTTGAAATATTTGGCGATAATATTGTGATAAAGTTTTCAGTTTTGATAACATGGCCAAATTCGGAATACGATTTGCTAAGTAAATATTTGTTATTATGTATACAAAAAAAAATATTCTTTTTGTGTTTACTTATAGAAAACACATTTATATTTTGTTTTTACGATAAATATGTTTTTGTTAATTGATATAACACGTAAATTTGAAGAAAAATATTAAATAATATTTTCATGTAAGTTTTAGGCATATCTGGGTTAATTTGATAGGAAATATGAAAGCAAAACCGCACGCCTATGGAGTCTTACGTAGCATAGCCTCGTTTTGTTTACTTTTACTGCACGTCGAATTTGAATCAACTGTAATTCAGGTTCCGGCTGTATCATTATTTGTCACTATTACTTTACCTGTGAATATAACCTTAAATTCTTGGATTCTTTATATTGATTAATTGAAATATTTGCAATATGTTGTTGTTTTTCTATAAATTGTTTTTATGCCAACATTTTTCTTCAGAAGCAAATATCTATTAATCAAGCAAACACTATTGACTACTGGTATAAAGGTAATCAACGTCGTTCCAATTATTTATTTCATTCTGGCTTCAAAATATGACTCGAAACACAAAATATTATTTCTGGTAGACTTGGTAAATAGTTTGCTACATCAGTTTCATCAAAAGAATGACAAGTTTGCACTCACATTTACCAAACTTTACATTAATCAACGTAATAACAGTATAACTAGCTTCAAAACTTGGTCAGAACAATCTGACACTCGCCAACCTTGCCAAACCAGTGGCATTGCACGCTAGGTCTCTTCAGACAACCTTGTATTATATTTAAAAAAAAATTAACCTTAATTTGATACACAAAACATGCATATAAGTCAAGAGCAACATATTTTATTTAAAAAATAATTTAACGAAACTCTTGTTCAAAAATTAATTATTATTAATTGAATTAAAACTATTTGCGGCCACTTTTTGAATGGCAACCTATTATCAATGTATTCTCCTCATTTTAAATGTATTTACAAATGTGAGTTTGATTAACTATGTTATGAACGTAGTGATTTTGCAGTGGGATCTTGTGTTATAACCGCAATTTAGTTTCAGAATGGAAAAACATTCTCTTGGATATACAGATTGTTAACGCACAAAAATATATATTTCTGAGGACCTTGATGATTACGCGAAAGGTGTCAAGCTGACTAGATTCTATTGCTAGTAAAACACTTATACTAAATTCACTATCTTACTTTTTCTCATATATTTTTCCAGTAATTTCTATATTTTTCTAGTTTGATCATTTGATTTATTCATCAACTGTGACTCTTCTTCTTAATTTAATTTCTAATTATATTCGAATAAATCTGTTTTTCAGACTGTTATGCCTACAACATTATTATGAACTTCATCTACGTAAATGTTTACCCTTTTTTAGCATTTATTTTGTCTAAGCACGTTAAAAAGTTGTCTCTCTTCGTTGGACCATATTTTTGTGATCATAAATATTCTAAACTGTATACAACGTAAACGTTTCTAGACGCCAGTTGACTGTCTTCTTTTAAATAATCAACATATTTTTTTATACAATGGTTAGCAGTGTTAGTAACACGTTTTGAAGTTAAACTGATTCAAATGGCAGGAAACACAGCTCAAAAACAAAAACTGGTTCAGAAAAATAGTGGAAAATTAGAAGAGCGAATTCGTAAGAAAGTTTCTTTCTTGAGAGCTGTTAAAACTGGTCAATAAAGTGAGTAAGACGGAGTAAAAGCTAAGGTGATCCTCAGATTTTATTATGATTCTCCCAGCACGCCCATCTCTAAACACCGACCAAGAATGAACCAGGAACAAACAAAAAACTCGATGAAGCTCAGCAAGTACCGAAAACAGTCCAGCGCAGATGTATGGCATCACATGGGATATTTCAGATGGCAACATGAAAATTTTTCTCTATCTTTTCAAAAGTGGATCCATAACTTCTTAGAAATTTTGTATATACCTTATGCAACAATAAAAAGAATTGTTTAGAAACAAACGCTATCGCATTATTATCCAAATTAAATACTATTAAAACAATCGTTACTACAATACGTATTTATGTGAAATTCGATAGTTGATAAACTATTGGAAAACTTGAAACGGATGATAAAATGTACCGAATCGGAATTTATTAGCTATTGAGATTTTTATTTATTTATGGCTAATTTACAATCTACTTCAATACAGTAATAAGTAAATATGATGTATGTTCTTAGCTTGTGTCAGGTGTCGTCCATTGACAACTCTCTGGAATTTACCTAGCACCTAGGTCTTCTGGCCAAAGTCTTTTTAGATGTCTGTCAACCAGTGGGGGGTTGAATAATTCGTCTATGAGATGGTTTGGATGGTCTGCGCTGCGATTCATGTATCTTCTGGAGTGGTCAGCTATCACATCATTGATGAAGGGGATGTTGAAGTCTACATGAAGGGTTTGGTTTGAAACATAGCATAGGGCTTAACATACGAATAGTTTTTGACTGGAATGTATGTAGTATTTTGGTGTTGGATGGTTTGCTACAGCCCCACAGCTCAATTCCGTATGTCCACACTGGTTTGAGTATTGTTTTATAGATGGTCAGTTTGTTTTCTAATAAAAGTTGCGATCTTCTGTTGATTAGCCAACACATATTTTTAACTTTTAGGTCGAGGTGTCGTCGTTTGGCTGCAATATGTGATTTCCAAGTAAGTTGTTCGTCTAGATGAAGGCCCAGGTACTTTACTTCTGTTTTTATAGGTATAGGTGAATTATTTAGGTGAAGTTGTGGACATTTAATTCTTCGATTTGTGAAATTTACTTGACAAGACTGGTTTGTGTTGACGTTTATTTTCCAGCATTTAAGCCAGTCTTCTAGTTCATTGAGATGATTTTGCAATTTGTTAAATGTTAACATTTCGTTGATGTCTGATGCTAGTATACCAGTGTCACCCGCAAATGTTGCCATTAGTGTATTCTCGCAGTGAAGATATCAGCAGTGAAGATTTGGTAAAGGAATGGGCTAAGTACACTGCCTTGAGGTACTCCGGAGTTTATTTGGTGGTAGTTGGATAGAGCACCTTCGTATTTAACTTAGTATCTATCGGACAAGTATGATTTAAGGAGGAGGTAGATTTGGTCAGTTAGATGAGTTTTTATTTTAAAGAGAAGACTCTCAAGATTTGAAACAAATAAAAAAAAATTATGCGCAATGGAAATATTAACGACAGATTTGAACAAATATAAATTTTGGCTTAACCCAATTTAATGGATGATATCTTTATTAGAGATGAAAAATTCTGACCTTGAGGACCAAAGATAGTCAAACGGCCGATAAAAGAAATTTCTCAATTTTTGTTTTAAAAATAAATTCTTTGCTATATTTTCTATTTAAGGTTAGTACATGTTATTGTATGTTAGTAACAAAACCTCAAAATTTCACTGATGCGCGATTAAATATTTTGATTAGTGTAATAAATATATAAACGTTTCTACAGATTGTCTAATTTAAACGGGAAAATTCGAATTTGAATGTGCAAACACTGGTAGACAAACTTTTAATTTAAACATTTTGTTTATTGAAAACAGCTATATGACTGACATACATTACATTATGCTTAGTAAATACAGCAGTGTTATTATATTAATAAAGGGTAATGATTCTTTTATTATTTGTACTTAAAGAAATACACCAACACTGAATAGTATATTTAACGAGTTTCTATTCAAACATTCTTATCACTCGTACAAAACTTTAGGTATGTACAAAAATTTCAAGATTTTTTTGTAAATGACATTTCGGAAGTGCTGTTTTGCAATTAAAGTTTAAAATTTATATTCTTATTTTTTCCTACTCATTTCGTCCCACGTTGATCAACGACAAAGTTGGGAAAACCAGAAAAAACATGGACTAATTTCTGGTGTCCGTGCTGGTATATGGGTGAATTTTGCAGTTTTTTATATTCAAGTATTATTTTATTTTTTATGTGTAGCTCCATCTGGTCTTTTAACTTCACACATCATGAACGTGAAATGTAAGTATTGCACGAAAATGCTGTCTTATTTTTAAATAAGTCAAGTATGAATAATATGCAACAGAATGCTGCATATTTCTGATCACTAGTCACTAGTCTTTTATTCAGGTATGCTGCAAAAACCAAGAAACCGATATCTCTACCGGAGTGGTGGCTTGCCTTAATAGTCGGTCAAGTTAATAGCAAAGTTTAATCCCTAGCTTCTTGTGTAATTGTAATTAAAGCCTTTAATTTTTCTAGCCCTTAACATTTTTGTTAGTTTTACCCATCTCATTAATTTTGTCTGTAAGAGATTATATTAAAAGTACATAATTTTTCTCAAGAAGGTAACTGCGTATTATAGACCCAGCAGCTCTTTCTTGCTCTCAAGTACCTAATAAAAACATATACATTACCCCAAATTAGTCTGACAATAGAGTATAAAATACATAAATACCCAGATTTCAAGTCAATATTAGTTTTGGTGTTACGATATCTGGCGACGTTAAGTTTTTTTTTTTTTAATACGGCTGTGTGATCCAGAACTGGCATTTAAGCGATAAGTCTGGATTATTCTTATGTTTTAATCATAAATTAGACAAAGAATTTCTTATCTTTTAGAGCTCTTTTGCTGAGGTTGGCATTCATTGGCCGTGCTCATCAATATGCAACCACCTGTGCAGTTAAAGCCAGGCTATGTACAGTCTTTGTCATGATTTCTTTACCTCCGGCTTATGGCTTCATTTCTGCTGCTAGATATTAAGCGACTTCGACCTTTTTGGGGTCCTACCTGAGACCACAACATACAGCCTCCAGAGATTAACGACTTTTAAAGTGTGTTTAAATATTTTATATATACTATTTTGTGCATATATTTGAATTATAGATATGTTGATATAATTGCGTTAAAGAATATTATGTGAAACTTGTAATGAGTAATATTAATGCAATCCAAACAGCTTTTTCAGTTAGAAAGATTTTGGTCCAAAGCCTTCTATTTATCAATTTTTATGAAGTTTTAAGCAGTAATGAATTTTGAATAATCATTTACTCTGTTCTGATGGAGAACCGCAATATATTTAGATATTAGGTTATTCATGTTAGGATGTGTCCTTTTTTTTATGGTACCTAATCAATACATACATTTTTTTAAGTTTACTTTTTTATGATTTGATTCTATTGACGATACAACTTTTTTGCAGTATTTTATTGATAATATAACTTTTTTGAATAATAGCAGTGGACAAGATGCCTATATCGAACGCTGGTCGTTGGGGCTATTTTTTGTATGGAGACATTTATATAATCGTATTTAATTCGTTAAATCCTATCATTTGAGGAGCCATAGTCACGATTGGACCAATTTAGACCATTGAATTTTTCTGTGACATTGTATTCTATTCGTTAAATCCTTCAAAATCAAACACAAATTAAAAAGAAGTCAAGTTGATGCCATGACGTCTTTGTTGTATATACGGTTTCGGTCATGACTCAATCTAGAACATGCTAAATTACGCATTGGTCGGAAATGCAGATGCAATACTTACAGACATTGGCGCCATGTTTGTCTGCATGTCTGGACCAAGTGGCATGTCAATTTTAACAGTTTTGCTTCTGTAATGTTTTGATATGTTTTCTGACGATTTTGAGTCCTTTATAAAGCTCGGGTTAAGATTTACTGGTGCCCATCTTTTGCAGTTTTAGCTGTTTTAAGTGTTTCTTGGCTTTTAGGTCAAACTATTATCTACTTCTTATATATCTATCTGTTATCTAGAAATATTTTAGCACGTTGCGAGAAGTTAATCGTTTATTGCCAAAAAATTTTCTTAGCAATACTGAGTCACTACACAAAAAATAGGTATTTATAAATTTAGGACAATCTTTTCTCTTTATGGATTTAAGGCAAAATTATACAATGGTAACAACGTATATTTGAATAGTTCATCGATAACGTGAGACGGATTGTGTAGGAAAACCCCTATATATAGATTTTTAAGTGTATTATTAATTTTTCTAACGTAGTCTTTCACTACTAAGGCCTCTATAAACATCAAAATTATCTCTATGTCAAAATATCATTCAAAAATAACAAACCCAAAAATCATTTCACAACGTAAAACTATATACAATCATAATAAATATCATATATACAATCGCTTTCAACAAATCTCATTTTGTACTATATTTTGTATATTTTTATGGATTGAACAAAAATTCGTTAAATACACAAGTACTATTTGTAAATAAAACAAAATAGGACCAAATACCATGAACAGAAGTACATTTCCTAATCATTTTTGATTAAAAATACACGTATACCTAGCTTCAATTAATTAGTTTTTGTAAACAATGATACCGGTTCCCACAAAATACCTTTTCGTCCATTAGCCAACTTTTTATTAATTAAAAACTCGTTGCTGCAGTCAAAAATCAGCAGGTAGAACAAATTCTGATATATAACTATAACGGTAGCCCAATGGTTAAAGCGGTAACTTCGAGTGATAGCTTAATACGTGGCGAGAGTCGTTATTATCGGGTATAACAGGCAATTTTTTGTGAAGACAATCCAGCCGACTTTACTCAGTAACAAGGCATTTATTTAACACACTACACAAAATGATTACTACGCTTTTACGCAAATAATCCTGTTGTTTGATGTCTGGTAAGGTTGATAACAGTATACCATATTTATGCCACATTTTGACACGATAAAAAATAGCGACTTTCAGTGTTGTCAATAAAGATGCTATTTTATGACAAAAATTGCAAATATATTCTTAAATAAATGGAGATATCTTCAAGAATTTGAAACTGGATACATAGATAATAATACAAATGAGCACAGGTTTAACATGAGCACATAGAATGGATAAGTTTTGAACATATTAAAAATCAGCATTATAAAACTGAAGGCGAAAAGTCTAAACAATACTGATTGTCTAAAGTCACGAAGACAATATAACATTCATTTAAATCAGAATTTGTAATACCACTGTCTTATAAATAAAATAAAATTTAAGGCATTACGAATAATAAACGTAAGTGGAAGGAATATAATAAACAATTGTTTTAACGTATTTCGGTAGAGAAGTCAATTAATGGAAGTGCCCAGACGTGAGACAATATTGGCCTGCTCAATTTACTAGCGAATTCCGATTTGGAGCCCCAGCTCTAGACGACATTACACTTATAATTATTTATAATATTTATTGTATTATGAATTTTAAACATAAATATCAGACAAATATTGTGAATACAAAGCACTAATAACGTCAATATCGATTTTCACGATTGAGGTGTGCTTGAAAACAAAATAGCATAAATAAACATATTTTTATTGGATATTTGTACATATAAAACAAAGTTTAACAAACAAAACATCAATACACGAAGTAAAATGGGCTTTATTTCAATGATTTCAATTTATTTTCAGTTAAAAACTAAATTATAATTTAGGCTGCACTCTATACAACCGGTATTTAGGTTAATTTGCGAATTTAATATGTTCGTTAAAAGGTATCTTTCCGGAAACCCAAAAATTATTAATAGTTTTTATGGTTTTGTCCTCTAAAAATATATTGATTGTAATATTAGGCAACGCCATTGGGTCAAGACAAAACATTGAAAAGTTGATTAATGGCTTGAAAAGAATGTTAACACGTTAACCGCCCAAAAAACTGGAGACAAATTTTTTTTATTATAGTACTGGAGCCCATATATTAGGTAATGAAGTCTGGGCGGCTCTTTCGGTAGTGAACCACATTTTCATTCACGCGGCGATTAACGTGTTAAATAAAACTATATTGTTTACAAAAACTAAACTTAATTCAGCTCCTAAAACATCCTACTCAAGCAAAAATAAACACAAATGTACCTAGTTATGTCAGTTTATTAAGTGGTCCAAAACAGCAATTAATATAAAATTCCGACAATCCATTGTTATTTTAGTTAAAATACAAATAACTACTAAATAGCCTATCACCATTTAATAAGGTGTTGAAACACCACTAATTTGCTAAAATATTGACATGATTCTACACCAGTCTTGTGTAACACTAATAATATAATAGTTAAATCTACAAAACTCTGCGACAAAACAACCAAATTAGTTTCCAAAAATATGGAAACAAATTCTAATTTGTATAAAATTATCGTTTAAATCCATTATGGAATAAACAAACTTTGTAAGTTTTAGTTGATTCAATTTGTAACGATTTATTCAGCAAATTTCTTGCTCCTACCTGCGAAACGATTGGAATTCATTCAGTGGGGGCAGATAAAAGCTAAGTTTACTATATTAGCGTTATTTACTATTCAGACAGAATTGCGATCGAAAACTACGCACTGAGCCCCTAAACATTACCATAGAGTTCGCTGTATGTAATTATTTTATTCTCATAACGATAAATGAAATTTACAATACTACAGGATACCTCGTATTGTGTATTTTTTAGGATATATAAAAATACAAATTGATTGGAATCAAAGGTTGAGAGTGACGCACGACAGCTGGGGTTGGAAAGAGGAGGAGGCTTACATATATTCAGGAGATTCGAAGTTGAATGACGATTTGTTTTAATATTACATTTTCTTATTATACTAGAATCACATTCTTAGTTTTGATCTTCAATGATCACTATATGTATGTAAACAAGTAAAAAAGTAAGGAAGAATTTACAGTCGTATAATCAACGTACTATATAATGAATTATAAAAAGTTACCACGATCTCATGGTGAGACATATTGATACTATCAATTGTATAACAGCGGACAAGTATCAAGAACACGTGTGTCCATTGAGTTTTATATAGCTATTTTCAATGATCCTGGAAAAATATTGTCATACCACATCAGCTAAAAATGTTAAGGCATACAATGGAAATAACAAACTGTGCCATATTTCTCTAAAGTTTTTAATATGACAAAGATGCATTAATTACAACAGTGAGATTTACAGCAAACGCCATTTCTGGCAATGTGACCGAAATAGCCTATTTTTAACTTCAAACTCCTCCGACTGACAAAACGATACAGAGATTTCTTATTCAAACAGACAATGCTAAAACTGTTTCAATCAGCATAAAGAAGCCATTTTGCTCTAGTACGTTTATGGAACAAAATGGATGACAATATACTAGATACAAATCCATGATGTCGACAAGAGAGTGCTTCTATCCAAAATTGGATACATAAGGTAGATAATAAATATGTTTACTTGCCGAATAAATCGTTTGAATATCCATTTCAAACTATTCCCAGTATTTGAAAACGAAAAACTCGTTTATTTTTAGTATGTTCTGTAATAAATAAATAAATTATTTTTTATGTGTAACAATTTCATTATTTCACTATTGTTTAATAAGTATTTATAATTTTAAACAATTCAACAGCTTTTTAAGTCTATATTTACAATCTGTTTATTATCTAATAAAGATATCCCTATCTCTCCTTTTTAATTGAAATACTTTCAAAAACTTAATTGAGTCATTTTGCCGAAGAATTTAAAACATACTATTTTGTAGTGCAGCCTTTAGATCATATAGTAAAAATCTTAAATATTTGTTACATCTTAATATTGGAAGTGATTAAAGGATTCAAACTATTCTCTTGATATCTATGAGAAATGTAGATCTAATTGAAAATAATAATAATAATAATCGCAATTATTAACTACAACCATTATATAAGCGCTTTTCTATATATGGTAACTAATATATAAATATAACCAACCCAACATTATATTATATACAAACAAATTATCCAAAAAATAATGTGCCAATAATATATATTTCATCATTCCATTTTGCTGTAGGGTGAGGTATGCACCTAAAAGAGTTGTAGAGAGATCCAAGAAAATGCTACTCACTTGTTCATTATTATGTGTTCTATTAATTAGGTAATCCAAAGTTTACCAAATAATTTTATTATTATTTATTTCTGATTCAGGCCGAAACTTATTATTGTTTTTTTTTTGTTCAATAATCTTTTGCCGAAATTATCCAGATGACATTTTTCTCGGCTAATACGTAACAGAAATACACTCAACAGAACCAATAACAGTTTTATGCAGGACCGAAAACCACCGTAGTAATAGAGTCGATTAAATTAGTCGGAAATGTCATAAACAATTGGTCCTGCGAGCCGGATATTTTGACCTTTCGTATATAAATTTGAAATTTTCATGGTCCGATTTTTTTTTGTTTTCAGTGGATAAAAGAATAACACAACAGTACTGTAATTTAGTACAGCCATTTATCGTTAAAACAGTTCATTGGAACCAAATGTTTTGAATATATTTAAAATAATATTGTATGTAGTATAGATTCTTTGGCAAATATTCTTTTTGCCTAAATTAGTCAGGTGAATCGAAACTCCTTATTCTATCTCTTCATACGATTTTCTCAAGTTAATCCAATTTACAACAAAACTAAACATAAAAGTTGTAGGAGAAATGGCTGTATTCCTATTGAGTTTGAAGCATTTGTTTTATAGGTGCTGAAATACTTAATTTCATTGACAGTTTATCTCTCTTACTACTTTCTTTTCAAGTACCTACCACAGCCCATAAGTGTAACGCATATTTTCAGATGTTTCCGCTTAGGGGAGACGAGCTAGTAATATGAGGTACTTTAAAAATTATTGTGCTAAATATTTTGATATCGATCCTCCCTGAGACATCCTTTGAAAACATGCGTACATGGATTCGCCTACTTGGTGTTGTAAAAGTGCAGTTGTTTACAAAAAATACTAACATCAACTAAAAAATTTTGATTTTAGGTTCTGCACGACATTGCATGTGAAGGGCGTTCCCACTTTTTGGAGATTTGTTATAACAAAATGTATGTCACTGTACACAGTTCTCGTCATATATAACAATTTATTTTGAGCAAAAAACGAAAACTTCTGACCAATTTTTATTTGACAAAAAGGATACATGAATATATACCCCATTCATTTATCTTTGCAATCTAGATGCGGATACAGATAGTAAATATATACAAAGCACTAATATTTAAATTTTTTGTCTGGCGTTTTGCATGAGATCGAATCAGTTAAGATACAGCTTGGCAACACTGTAAATTTTTTACACACGAATAAACAGTTGACTAATTTTTCTCAGCGGAATATTTTTGCAATTGCAGGTAACATAGCTGCTTGGCCGACTTTGTCTACATTCAATCAATAAAGCATAAAATTGTTAACATTACAGTTTGCCTCGCTATTCTTTATATTGTTTCTACCTAAATAGATGCGCAATTGCCAGACACAAAAATTCTTTATATACTTTTACTCTTCAATATCAGAAGTTTGTTATATAATCAGAGAACTCCACAAGGTCGACTACTACATACGTGAAGACTGAGTTATATGTAAATACTTCTCAAAGAGCATGGCTAATTATTTAAGAAATGTTCTAAAGCTTTCAGTACTAAGTACAATGTGTATAAAAATATGCTTCACGAAAATGAAGCCAACCTTGTTGAACAAACCTTTTCATTCTTCATTTTATATCGAAACTAGTCATCGAAATTCAGTAACAAAATATATAATTTTATCACAATAAACATAATAAATGTGTACAACAAATTTATCTTAAAATGAATTGAATACTGAATATTGCAATTGACACATTGCATTGCAAACATATTGACATGAATAGCGATTTCCAGAATTGTTATAAAACTTTAAATAAAACAGAATCTAAAAAAAGTATTAAAAATAATACTAAAAAAGTAGAATCATATGACTAAAAGTTGATGATAATAAAAAGTTTACATTTAAAAAGCCAAGGCAATTATTCAATTTTCAAATTTGGATAAAACTACGAATAGGAAAATATAAAAAAAATCTTCTGAAGTGCCTATTCGTAATGAATGTTGTCGATGATCATGAAATGAATAAAATGATCATGAAAAAATACTTCTGATACGTCTAAAACAAAATTAAAAACATTATCAAGGTTAAATATCTAGAAGAACTACATATCAGCAGGAGATTTTGAATTAAACCATGAACGAAATGTTATGTCTGATGGTTAAGTCCTTATATGACAGTTTTAGTTGTCCTATAGTTGAAAAAGTATAGAACTATAAAAATATATCAGATAAAATATATAGGAGTTAAATGATAAGTTCCAGGATTCTTTTTTTGTTCTAAATAATCAATATTTAAAAATCATGACTAATTTATATTGTTTATTTTTCAGTTATCTCGAAAAAATTGATCTACTAATTGAAAAGTCTTTCATTTGACATGCCTTGACCTTGATGACTGCTGTGTTTTTTATATTATAAATTAAAGTATGTACTACTATTAAAATTTATATCATTTGGTTGTATTTCAATTATAGCAATGGATAATGAAAAGGCTGTTACAAATTATCTATGACATAATACTGACGAAAATTTAAAATAAAGAAAAGTACTAAAATAAAAGCCCCAAAAAACTAAAATAATATGAGCAAAAACAATATATTAATTGCGACAAGCAAAACATTTCGATGACCATAAATTTTGGCAACTATGCTACTTCGCTGTTATTTTTTAATATTTTTAAAAGTTAAATCTATTACGAAACCCTGTGCATTAGTTGAAAATGAGAGCAAAAAGATCTAAATAATATATATCTAAAATGACTGTCAAGTCTAAAATACTAATATTTGTCTCTCAATAAGGCGTTACAATATTATTAAAACTAGTTAAAGCGAAAAGGTTTGAAGTATTCGGCAAAATCGAGTCAACTGGGTCTATTTTCGTGGTTCATAAGTAATTAGTAGTAAGAGATATGGTAAAATGTATAAAGCGTCATAAAAATAATGATTTCTAAAAATTCTGGTTCTCATTTTATTGCCTAGTTTTAAACAGCTTATACTGAGGGAATGATTAATTTTCTGAGTACTTTTTCTATGCTTGTTTCTACGCAATTCCGAGTAATTTATGATAATTAGAATTTTTACTCACAAACTGTGATAGCTAGAGCAACTTGGATTCGCATTCATTGCTTACATAAAAATGCGGCTAATACTTATATAATATTTTACTCTAAGTGATGAACATTTTCTAGTTTTTTTATATATCCATATTGGCATATTCTTTCATTGTATAATTATACAATTGAGGGTATTTTTACACTACCCCAACAAATTTTATTTCATTCAATGAAATTCAGAAACAGAAATTCAATGTTTTCAGAATTTTATATTACAAACAATATATTTTTACAAAGCTAGTAGAATAGAATAGATTAAAATAGAACATAAAAAATGAAGACAGCAAATACAATAATCTTATCCCCATGACTGAAAACGTGCGTCTCACTCGAACTTTCTCGTGCGCTACAGATCGCATGTGACGAGAGTCGTACAAGACGAGGAGATTTGCTCCTAAACGCCCCGTGTGGAGCTCAATACAACAACGAAGGAACTTGGGCGGTGGGGAGAGACCTACGCGATTGAATTCGAGTCGACCAAATCGAGCGTCGACCCATGTGCGGACGGCTTAAATGTTTTGTGAAAATGAATACGAAAGTTGCTCCTTTAATTTAGGGATGTGGTAACACTTCCTGTGATAGTTTTCTTATGATTCAAATATACAAATTCGTAAAGTTTGACATTTTGTAAATGAAACTCGACAAACTATAATAATAGTGAGCTATTCAATCAGAGTATTGAAGACGCTTCGACAATTCGCTAGAATTTTCAATATTAAAAAAGATGAATATAAATTGTGAACAGTTTGACGAGTCACCGTTAAGAACAGTTGAGTTTCGGTTTCAAGAACTTCTATTGGAACCAGTCAGCTCACATAAAAGTTACTAAACAACATCGGAATTTCAAATTCTCAAAGGTGTCAGACAGGGAGTATACTGTCACCGCTTCTTCTCAATTGATATTCTGAATCCATTTTCCAAGAGGCCTTAAAGATATAGAAATATGAATAAAGGTGAATGTCTGTGAATCATGTTAATAACATCAGATATGCTGGCATTATCCATGTATCCGATAACGTTAAATGCTACGTACTGACTGCACTGTTGTACGGAGTCAAGGAATGGACGTTAGCAAGAACCATGTTACGTCTGGATTCTTTTAAGATGTGGTGTTACCAGCGGTTATTGAAAATACCATGGATCGAGAGAGTATCAAAAGATTTAATGTTGAAAAGAATGAATAAAGATAGGGAATTATTGGCAACACGTTTATGTGTAATTTTCTCAAATTTTTCGTATTTCACTGTGCTGTTTGCACACTGAGTTGGGAGTGTAGCAATCATATGATTATGTATTTTAAATGAGAAGTTACCTGTATTGCCAACTTATTCCATATTGGTCTTTTGAGCACGCTAGGTGCTTAGATGATAGGTGCCAGGTACGAATTAGGTACTTTTAGGGCCAGTTTGAAAAGGCATAATTTACTTCATTTTACACAAATGATTTTATTGTAGGGTTACAAAAACTAAACTCATGTATGTCATTATTGACAGTAA